TAAGGGGGACTCTGTAAAAGAAAGAGGATGCCCAAAGAAATAATCCACAAAAACAGGGACTGAATAGGTATCATGATGACACTAAATTAGTATCTTTCAATAGTAACTCCGAACGTGAATGGGCTAAATGATCTCATCAAAAGACGCAGGGTTTCAGACTGGATAAAAAAGCAAGACCCACCCATTTGCTGTCTACAAGAGACTCATTTTATTTTATTTTATTTCTAAAGATCTATTTATTTATTCAGAGAGAGAGAGGCAGAACACAGGCAGAGGGAGAAGCAGGCTCCATGCAGGAAGCCTGACATAGGACTCGATCCGGGGTCTCCAGGATCACACCCCAGGCTGTAGGAGGCACTAAACCGCTGTGCCACCGGGGCTGCCTGAGACACATTTTAGACCTAAGGAAACCTCCAGCCTGAAAATGAAAGGGTGTAGAACAATTTACCATTCAAATGATCCTCAAAAGAAAGCAGGGGTAGCCATGCTTATATCAGGTAAATTAAAGTTTATCCCAAAGACTACAGTAAGAGATGAAGAGGGACACTATATCATACTTAAACAATCTATCCAACAAGAAGACCTAACAATCATGAATATTTATGCCCCTAATGGGGGACCTGCCAAGTATATCAATGAATTAAAAACCAAAGTAAACACAAATTTAGATAATAATACACTAATACTGGGAGACTTCAACATGCGCTTTCTGGAAATGACAGATTTTCTAAGCACAACAACTCCAAAGAAACAAGAGCCTTATTTTTTTATTATTTTTTAAAGATTTTATTTAATTATTCATGAGAGACACAGAGAGAGACAGAGGCAGAGACATAGACAGAGGGAGAAGCAGGCTCCATGCAGGGAGCCCGACGTGGGACTTGATCCTGGGTCTCCAGGATCATGCCCTAGGCGGAAGGTGGCACTAAACTGCTGAGCCACCTGGGCTGCCCTAAACAAGAGCTTTAAATGATACTGGACCGGATGGATTTCACAGATATCTACAGAACTTTACATCCAAACACAACTGAATATACATTCTTCTAAAGTGCACATGGAACTTTCTCCAGAATAGACCACATACTGGGTTCACAAATCAGGTCTCTGACACTAAGCTTAGATCTGGGTCTTTCTGTCCTTGAGAAATATGAGAAATAAATATCTGTTCATAAGCTAAAAAAAAAAACCAAATCAGGTCTCAATCCATACCAAAAACTGGGATTGTCCCCTGCATATTTTCAGACCATAATGCTTTGAAACTGGAACTCAATCACAAGAAGAAATTTGGAAGAAACTCAAACACATGGAGGTTAAAGACCATCCTGCTAAAAGATGAAAAGGGTCAATCAGGAAATTAGAGAAGAATTAAAAAGATTCATGGAAACTAATGAGAATGAAGATACAACCATTCAAAATCTTTGGGACACAGCAAAAGCAGTCCTAAGGGGGAAATACATAACAATACAAGCATCTCTCAAAAAGTTGGAAAATACTCAAATTCACAAGCTAACCTTTCACCTAAAGGATCTGGAGAAAAAAAAGCAAATAAACCCTACACCAAGCAGAAGACGAGAGTTAATAGATTCGAGCAGAACTCAATGAAATAGAGACCAGAAGATCTGTGGAACAGATCAACAAAATCAGGAGTGGGTTCTTTGAAAGAATTAATAAGATAGATAAACCATTAGCCAGCCTTATTAAAAACAAAAGAGAAAAGACTCAAAAATTAATAAAATCATGAATGGAAAAGGAGAGATCACAACCAATACCAAGGAAATGAAAAAGATTTTAGAAAACATATTATGAGCAGCTAAACACGAATAAATTAGGCAATCTAGAAGAAATGGACGCATTTCTGGAAAACCACAAGCTACCAAAACTGGAGGAGAAAGAAATAGAAAACCAGAACAGCCCAATAACCAAGGAGGATTGAAGCAGTCACCAAAAACCTCCCAAGACACAAAAGTCCAGGGCCAGATCCTTCCCGGGGGGGAATTCTATCGAATGTTTAAAGAAGAAACAATACCTATTCTACTAAAGTTGTTCCGAAAGATAGAAAGGGATGGAATACTTCCAAACCCATTTCATGAGACGAGAATCACCTTAATTCCAAAACTAGACAAAGACCATACCAAAAAGGAAAATTATAGACCAATACCCCTGATGAACACAGATGCAAAAATTCTCAACAAGATACTAGCCAATAGGATCCAACAGTATATTAAGAAGATGATTAACCATGATCAAGTGGGATTTATATCCGGGATGCAAGGCTGGTTCAACACTTGTATAGCAAACAACGAGATTGATTATATCAACAAGGGAAAAAACAAGAACTATATCATCCTCTCAATTGATGCAGAGAAAGCATTTAACAAAAGACAGCATCCATTCTTGATCAAAACTCTTCAGAGTGCAAGGATAGAGGGAACATGCCTCAGTATCTTAAAAGCCATCTACGAAAAGCCCACAGCAAATATCATTCTCAATGGGGAAACACTGGGAGCCTTTCCCCTAAGATCAGAAACACGACATGGATGTCCACTCTCGCCACTGCTATTCAACACAGTACTAGAAGTCCTAGCCTCAGCAATAAGGCAACAAAAAGAAATAAAAAGCATTCAAATTGGCAAAGGATAAGTCAAACTCTCCCTCTTCACAAATGACATGATACCGTATATAGAAAACCAAAAAATCCACCCCAAAATGGTTAGAATTCATACAGCAATTCGGCAGTGTGGCAGGATACAAAATTAATGACCAAAAATCAGTAGCATTTCTATACACTAACTATGAGACTGAAGAAAGAGAAATTAAGGAATCAATCCCATTTACAATTACACCCAAAAGCATAAGATGCCTGGGAATAAACCTAACCAAAGAGGTAAAGGATCTATACCCTAAAAACTACAGAACACTTCTGAAAGAAATCGAGGAAAATACAAAGAGATGGAAAAATATTCCATGCTCATGGATTGGAAGAATTAATATTGTGAAAATGTCAATGCTACCCAAGGCAATTTACATATTTAATGCAATCCTATAGAAACAATGGACTTTCTTCAGAGTTGGAACAAACCATCTTAAGATTTGTGTGGAATCAGAAAAGACCCCAAATAGCCAGGGGAATATTAAAAAACAAAACCAGAGCTAGGGGCATCACAATACCGGATTTCAAGTTCTACTCCAAAGCTGTGATCATCAAAACAGCGTGGTACTGAGATCAATGGAACAGAACAGAGAACCCAGAAATGGGCTCTCAACTCTATGGCCCAACTCAACTAATATTCAACCATGCAGGAAAGACTATCCACTGGAAAAAGGACAGTCTCTTCAGTAAATGGTGCTGGGAAAATTGGCCATCCACATGCAGAAGAATGAAACTAGATCAATGTCTTACACCAGACACAAAGAGAAATTCAAAATGGATGAAAGATCTAAATGTGAGACAAGAATCCATCAAAATCCTAGAGGAGAATACAGGCAACACCCTCTTTGAACTTGGCCACAACAACTTCTTGCAAGATACATCTAAGAAGGCACAGGAAATAGAAGCAAAAAGGAACTATTGGGATTTCATTAAGATAAAAAGCTTCTGCACAGCCAAAGAAACAGTCAACCAAACTAAAAGACAACCTACAGAATGGGAGAAGTTATTTGCATATGACATATCAGATAAAGGGCTAGTATCCAAGATTTATAAAGAACTTATTAAACTCAACAGCATAGAAACAAACAATCTAATCATGAAGCGGGCAAAAGCCATGAACAGAAATTTCAGAGGAAGACATAGACATGGCCAACAAGCACATGAGAAAATGCCCCACATCACTTGCCTTCAGGGAAATACAATCGAAACCACAATGATATACCACCACACACCAGTGAGAATGGTGAAAATTAACAAGACAGGAAACAACAAATGTTGGAGAGGATGTGGAGAAAGGGGAACCCTCTTGCACTGTTGGTGGGAATGTGAACTGGTGCAGCCACTCTGGAAAACTGTGTGGAGGTTCCTCAAAGAGTTAAAAATTGAACTGCCCTATGACCCAGCAATTGCACTGCTGGGGATTTACCCCAAAATACAGATGCAATGAAACAGCAGGACACCTGCACCCCAATGTTTATAGCAACAATGTCCAAAATAGCCAAACTGTGGAAGGAGCCTCGGTGTCCATCGAAAGATGAATGAATAAAGAAGATGTGGTATATGTATACAATGGAATATTACTCAGCCATTACGAACGATGAATACCCACCATTTACTCCAATGTGGATAGAACTGGAGGGTATTATGTTGAATGAAGTAAGTCAATTCGAGAAGGACAAACATTATATGGTCTCATTCATTTGAGGAATATAAAAAATAGTGAAAGGGAATAAAGGCGAAAGAGAAAATGAGTGGGAAATATCAGTGAGGGTGACAGAACAAGAGAGACACCTAACTCTGGGAAACGAACAAGATACATCAAGGGGTGGTGGAAGGGAGGTGGGCAGTGGATGGGTTGACTGTGTGACAGGCACTAAGGGAGGAACTTGAGGGGTGAGCACTGGGTGTTATGCTATATGTTGGCAAATGGAACTTCAATAAAAAAATATAGGGAAAAAAAAAAGAAATCCTGTCATTTCCAACACAGTGGATAAAACTTGAGGACAGTATACTAAGTGAACTAAGTCAGAAAAAAAAACACTGCATGATCTCACTTATACATGGAATCTTCCTAAAAAGAAAATAAACTCATAAATACAAAGCGTATGTTGGTAATTTCCAGAAGTTGAAGGATAGGAGAAATTGGTGAAAGTGGCCAAATGTATAAAGTTTCAACTGTAACATCAATAAGTTCCTTGTATCTAATACATTAATAACACAATGTACATTATACTTTAATAATATAATTATATAAACATATAAAAATATGTATACAATTATAGTTACAGTGTATTTCCAACATAGTTAACACTACAGCATAATGACTATAATTAACAATATTGTATAGTTAATAGTTGCTGAGAATATATAGATAGTTCTCACCACACAGGGGTCACCTGGTTGCCTCAGTCGGTTATGTGTCCAACTCTTGAGTTCGGCTCAGGTTATGATCCCAGGGTCGTGAGACTGAGCCCCTGCACTGGGCTCTGTGCTGAGCATGGAGCCCGCTTAAAATTTTCTCCCTCTCTCTCTGCCCCTCCCGCTCGCGTGATCTCTCTCTAAAAAAACAATTAAAAAAAAGTTCTCACCACAGAGGAAAAATTGGTAACTGTGTGAGATGAGTGTGTGAAAACTTACTGTGGTAATTATTTTTTAATATATAGGTATAGCAAACCATCTTATTGTATACTGTAAACTTGCAACATACATGCCAAATATATTTAAATAAACCTAGACAAAAAAGAACTATAATATAGCTTGCGTTGTCCACTTGGATTATATGTTCTTCCAAAAACATCCCCTTTTCACTAATTATAAGTGGATAATCTTGACAATAAACATTTATGAAACAAAAATTGGAACAATGTCAAGTATCTATTTTGACACATATGGGAGATTATATAAGAGAAACACATCTTTCTGAGGACATACACACTGAAGTATTTACAGGTACTTAAGTATTTCCCAGTAAATGAACATGGTATCTGCTAGGAACTCTTAAATAGCTCAGAGAGAGGAAGAGGGAGAAGAGCAGAAGAAGAAGGAAAGGTAGAGGTAAGAATTGATGGGGGAGGAGTAAGGACAAAAGAGAAGAGAGAGGAAGAAGGGGTTTGAGAGAGAGAAAAAGAAATAGAGAATGAAAAAAGCAAACATGGAAAAATATTAATTGGCTCTTCTGTGAGGGCTTCCTGAACAGCAGAGGGCACCAACTTCCCTTTACGGGGACAAGAGAGTGGGGTGAGGCCATTTCTCTCTCACCCATCAGCATAAACAGACTTCAGTGAATAAAACAGCATCCCCAGTGGAAGGTGAAGCTGCTTACAACAATCCCTGCCCCACTGCACCCTATAGGTGCATCTGCACTAAGCCAAGTCCACCCTGAGAACCAGTGCAGCATGCCCCTCCCCCAGAAGACCAGCACAAACCCCTTGCACAAAGTGTACTGATCATAGAGTACTGCAAATCTTTAGCTCTAAGGGAAGTAGGATCCAGCCTTTTCCAAAAAGCACACCAAAACACACCTAGTTAAAACCCTCCATACAATGTCCAATGTCCAAACACACACCATCCCCCCACATAGACAAAATGCAGGCAAGGAAAAACTCTGCAGATGTCTGACCTAAGAGAAGGAGCAGTGGAAACACACAGCAGAGTGCACACAACATATACCAAAAGAACTTACTGAAGCGCCAAGCTAGTATATGATCTCTTCTTAATTTAGCCATTGCTCTCAGGAGCAGGAAACATAACAGGATTTCTGAACACACAGAAGACAGAGTTATAAACAAAACATCAAGACAGAGGAATCCAGCCCACAAGAAAGACCAAGAGGTAATGGCCAGTGATCTAATTAAAACAGTTACATGTAATATATAATATTAGTAATATGCCTGAACAAGAATTTAAAACAACAAGTTAGTTAAGGATACTAACTGGACTTGAGAAAAGCATAGAAAATACCAGGGAGTACATTACTGCACAGATCAAATATCTACTAACTAGTCAGGCAGAAAAAAAAAAGCTAGAACCAAGAAGAACAACCAACTGGAGGTAATGACCACAAGGATGGAAGAAGCTAAGGATGAATCAGTCATATGAGATAAAATTATGGAAAATAATGAAGTTGAAAGGAAGCAGGAAAGAAAAACACTGGATCACAAATGTAGACTCAGGGAATTCAGTGACCTCATAAAGTGTAATAACATTTGTATCATAGGAGTCTCAGAAGAAGAAGAGAGGGAAAAAGGGGCAGAAGGTTTATTTGAGAGAATTATAGCTGAAAACTTCCTTAATCTGGATAACAACAAACACTGAAATCCAGAAGACATAAAGAACTCCCATCAAAATCAACAAAAACAAGCCAGCACCAAGATATAGCATATGGTGAAATTTACAATATACACAGATAAGGAGGGACGCCTGGGTGGCTCAGCAGTTGGGCATCTGCCTTTGGCTCAGGGCATGATCCTGGTGAGCCAGGATCAGGTCCCATGTTGGGCTCCCTGCATGGAGCCTGCTTTTTCCCTCTGCCTGTGTCTCTGCCTTTCTCTCTGTGTGCCTCTCATGAATAAATACAATCTTTTAAAAAATTCATAGATAAGGAAAAAATCCCAAAAGCGGCAAGGGAAAAAAATTCCTTAACCTACAAGAGAAGACAAATCAGGTTTGCATCAGATCGCTCCACAGAAACTTCACAGGCCAGAAGACAGTGTCATGATCTGTTCAATGTGCTGAATGGGAAAAGTATGCAGCCAAGAATTCTTTATCCAGCAAGGCTGCCATTCAGCACAGAACTAGAGATAAAGAGTTTCCCAGACCTACAAAAACTAAAGGAGTTCATGACCACTGAACCAGCCATGCAAGAAATTTTAAGGGGGGGATCCCTGGGTGGCGCAGCGGTTTAGCGCCTGCCTTTGGCCCAGGGCGCGATCCTGGAGACCCGGGATCGAATCCCACGTCGGGCTCCCGGTGCATGGAGCCTGCTTCTCCCTCTGCCTGTGTCTCTGCTGCTCTCTCTCTCTCTCTGTATGACTATCATAAATAAATTTAAAAAAAAATTTAAAAAAAGAAATTTTAAGGGGGACTATTTGAGTGGAGAAGAAAAGACCAAAAGCAACAAAGACTAGAAAGGAACAGAGAAAATCTCCAGAAATACCAACTTTATGGGTAATACAATGGCACTAAATTCATATCTATCAATAATCAGTCTGAATGTAAATGGACTAAATGCTCCAATCAAAAGATATAGGGTATCACAAAGGATAAAAAAATAAGACCCATCTATATGCTGCTTACAAGAGATTCATTTTAGACCTAAAGATACCTACAGATTGAAGGTGAGAGGGTGGAGAACATTTATCATGATAATGGACGTCAAAAGAAAGCCAGAGTGGCAATACATATATCAGAAAACTAGATTTTAACCAGACTCTAAGAAGAGATGAAGAAGTGCATCATATCATAATTAAAGGATCTATCCAACACAATTTCTAACAATTGTAAATATTTATGTCCCCAAAATGGGACCCAAATATATAAATCAATTAATGACAAACATAAACAAACACATTGATAATAATACAATAATACTAGATGACTTTAATATCCTACTTAGAAGAATGGACAGATTATCTAGGCAGAAAATCAAAAAGGAAACAATGGCTTTGAAATACACACTGGACCAGATGGACTACACAGATATATTCAGAACACTTCATCCTAAAACAACAGAATACACATTCTTTTCAAGTGCACAGAGAACATTCTCCAAAATAGATAACATACTGGGTCACAAATTAGGCCTCAACAAGTACAAAAATACTGAGATCACACCACGCATAACAGACCACAATTCTACAAAAGTTGAAGTCAACGACAAGAAAAAATTTGGAAAGACCCCAAATTCATGGAGGTAAAAGAACATCTTACTAAAAAATGAATGGGTTAACCAGGAAATTAAAGAGGAAATCTTGGGGCGCCTGAGTGCCTCAGCAGTTGAGCGTTTGCCTTTGGCTCAGGACATGATCCCCGAGTCCTGGGATCGGGTCCCATATCAGGCTCCCTGCATGAAGCCTGCTTCTCCCTCTGCCTATGTCTCTGCCTCTCTCTTTCTCTCTGTGTCCCTCATGAATGAATGGATAAAATATTTTAAAAAAATAAAGAGGAAATCTTAAAAACTACATGGAAACAAATGAAAAAAAAAACACAACAGTTCAAAACCTTTGAGATACAACGAAGGCAGTCCTAAGAGGGAAGTATATTGCAATACAGGCGTACCTCAAGATGCAAGAAAAGTCTCAAATACACAACCTAACCTTACACCTAAAGGAGCTAGAAAAGAAATAGCAAATAAAGCCTAAAGCCAGCAGAATTAGAGAAATAATAAAGATAAGAGCAGAAATAAATGATATAGAAACAGAAAAAAAAAACCCCACAGAACAGATCAATGAAACTAAAAGCTGGTTCTTCAAAAGAATTATGACAATTGATAAACCCCTAACAAGACTTATCAAAAAGAAGAGAAATGACCAAATAAATAAAGTCACAAATCAAAGAGGAGAGATTACAATGAACACCACAAAATTACAAATAATTACTAGGAGAATATTATGACAAGTTATATGCCAACAAATGGGCAATCTGATAGAAATGGAAAAATTCCTAGAAACATACAAACTATCAAAACTGAAACAGGAAGAATATGAAAATTTAAACAGACCCATAACCAGCAAGGAAACTGAATCAGTAATAAAAAATGTACCAACATCAAGGCATCGGTCCCATTTGCAATTACATCAAAAACCGTAAGATCCCTAGAAATAAACATAACCAGAGGTAAGTGTTCTGTATGCTGAAAATTATATACTTATGAAAGAAATTGAAGGGAACACAAAGGAATGGAAAAACATTCCCTGCTCAGAGTGGAAGAATAAATATTTTTAAAATGTCTATACTACCCAAAGTAACCTACATTTTTAATGCAATCCCTATCAAAATACTACCAGAATTTTTCACAGAGCCAAGAACAAGCAATTCTGCAATATATATAGAACCACAAAAGACCCCAAATAACCAAAACAACCCTGAACAAAAAGAAAAGCAAAGCTAGAGACATCATGATTCCAGACGTCAAACTTTATTACGAAGCTGTAGTCATCAAGAGAGTATTGGTACTGGCACAGAAACAGACACACAGATCAATGGAACAGAATAGAAAACTAGAAATGGAAACACAACTATATGGTCAACTAATCTTTGACAAAGCAGGAAAGAAGATACAGTGGGAAAAAGAGAGTCTCTCCAATAAATGGTGTTCAGAAAACTGAACAGCAACATGCAGAAGAATGGAACTGGACCACTTTCTTACACCATACACAAAAATAAGTTCAAAATGGATTAAATACCTAAATGTGAGACCGGAATCTATCAAAATCCTAAAGGAGAACACAGGCAGCAACTTCCATGACTTTGGCTGCAGCAACTTCTTACTAGACACGTCTCCAGAAGCGAAGGAAACAAAAGAAAAAATGAACTATTGGGACTTCATCAAGGTAAGAAGCTTCTGCACAGTGAAGGAAACAGTTGACAAAACTAAAAAGCAGCCTATGGAATGGGAGAAGATATTTGCAATGACTTATCAGATAAAGTACTATTATCCAAAATCCATAAAGAACTTATCAAACTCAACACTCAAAAAATAAATGATTCAGTTAAGAAATGGGAAAAAGATATGCACAGGTATTTCTCCAAAGAAGACATACAAATAACTAACAGACACATGAAAAGATATTCAATATCACTCGTCATCAGGGAAATACAAATCACAACCACAATGACATACCATCTCATAACTGTCAGAATGGCTAAAATGAACAACACAGAAAACAGGTGTTGGTGAGGATGAAGAGCAAGGGGAACCCTCCTACACTGTTGGTGGGAATGCAAACTGTAACATTCACCCTGGAAAACAGCATGGACCTCCCTCAAAAAGTTAAAAATAGAACTACCCCACAATCCTGTAATTACACTAGATATCTAACCAAAGGATACAAAAATACAGATTCAGATTCTAAGAGGTACATGCACCCGAAGGTTTATAGTAGCATTATCAACAATAGCCAAACTACAGAAAGAGCCCAAATGTCCATGAATGGATATGCATGAATGGATAAAGAAGATGTGATGTGTATACATATAATGGAATATTACTCAGCTATCAAAAAATGAAATCTTGCCTTTTGTAACAATATAGATGGAGCTAGAGTCTATTATGCAAAGTGATATAAGTCAGCCAGAGAAAGACAAATTCCACTTGATTTCACTCGTATGTGGAATTTAAGAAACAAAAAAGAACATATAGGAAGGGAGGGATAAAAAAGAAAGAAAGAAGCAAAGCATTAGAGACTCTTACCTATAGAGAACAATCTGAAGGTTGATGGAGGGAGGTGGGTGGATATGGGCTAAATGGGTGATGGGTATTAAGAAGGGCACCTGTGATGAGCAATGGGTATTATATGCAAGTGATGAATCACTAAATTCTTCTCCTGAAACTAATGTTTTACTATATGTTAACTAACAGGAATTTAAATAAAAACTTGAGATGAAAGAAAAAGAACAAAACAGAAAAAAAGACAAAATAAAAATTTTAAAGACTCAAATATAACTATCAGGAAAAATTTCATCATTCACTAGCATGTACATACATTTCTATGTATTTAATAGAAGAAATATTTTACATGGCCCAAATCTTTTGGAATGAGCAGCTCATGTATAATTTTGCTTTTTTTAATCAAGAAGATTAAAAAAACATTTTAAAGCAGAAAAGAAGATGAAAATAAGAAAATATTCAATGGTTACCATTGCTTTCAGATTAAACTACATATCCTAAGCATAACATTTAAGTTCTGTGCACCTCCAAGTCCTTCTCCAAGATTCAGTTATACTCAAGTTTTTCATGGTAGCCTGCTTTGGAGCTTTTGTCCTGTAAACACCAGGCCTGAAAACCAATCTCTACCCTTCCACAAGACAGATGTCACTCACCCTTTAAGGCCCACCCAAATCACAATCTGATTTGTAAATTAAGCCCATGAATCAAAAAAGAAATCTTAAGAGAAATTACAATCTAATGACAATAAAATACTACACATAAAAATCTGTGAAATTCTTTTAAAGTCATATGTAATGGAAGATTTATAGTCATAAATTCTTATTTTAGAAAAGGCACTTGATAATTACTAGGCTAAAGGTCCAAAATATAAATTAGAAAAAGACAAAACATAAAGCAAGTAAAGAAAATAATAAAGATTAAAGCAAAAATTTTAAAAACAAAATATTCAGCCGTGAGGATGCTGAAACCAAAATCAGGAAATGTATTAGAAAATAGATTATTGTAATTTATTGCATTATTACAGTCTCAGAATAATGGAGAAAAACTCCATATTCATTCATAATTAAAGAGTCTCAGCATACTAAAAATAGCAATGAACTTCCTTATTCTGAAGAGAGAAATCTAAAAGTCGTGAAACATTTGTAGAATTCCCTTGTAAATTCAAAAGCAAGAGAAGAAAATGCTCTATCACTGCTACTGTTTTCATTGTACTGAAGATCCTAGCTGCCAGGTAAGAGAAGCTAAAATATAAATATAGGACAAGAAACTGACATTATTCACAAAATAATTAATAGATAATCCAAGGAAATCTATATGTTATCAGAACAAACAATTCAGAAAGACTGTAGCACATAAAATCAATATGTAAAAATAACAATCATGTTCCCTTTTATGAGCAAAAATCAGAAAGTGTGGTTTAAATGATGCATTTCACAGTAACAACAAAAACTATAAGGTAATTAGGAGTGAACCTAACAAAGCAGCCTATAAATTACATTATTATTATATGATATATATGGTTTCATATAATGTAGAAAATAGTTTCAATTTTACCATTTGGTGCTAGCTTTACTTTTTGTTTGGCTTTTTTACAACTCTTATTCCTCTTCCTCCCTTAATAAGTTTCAGTAAATATATTACTTTAAAAAACACAATTACCTGGTGCAGGACATCAGAAAAAGCAGGGCAGCAGTGTCCATAATCTTCATTGTCCTCACTGGGTGAACCATTTTATGAATATACCAAGGAAATGGAGTCATTCTCCAATCCCTCTGAGACTGAAAAATAGTAAAAATAAGATAAAATTATTTCCTCTGTTATTGTCCATCTCTTTCCCCTAGCTTCCTCAAGTCCTTATGCTCCACTATGCTCCCATTTCTCTTATATATTCCTGTAAAACACTATGGATAATATTAAAAGAGGTCTATTGCAAATTAAGAGCATAGACTCATCCATTTCCTACAGCTCCCAGCACAATGCCTAGTCCTTTGCAAGGGCTCCATAGAGGTTTATTGCATGAATGAAGAAAGGATGCCCTGTTTCCTTGGATTTTAAGGATCTATGAGGCTTGGGTCAGATTTGGTCTTCTTTTTTTGCATTCTAGAAGGTCATCTAAATAGAAGTCTGTTTCTCTGATAGTAAAAACTGGACTCCTAAAATACATCACTTGATTGAAAATATTCAATGGTTACCATTGCTTTCAGATTAAACTACATATCCTAAGCATAACATTTAAGTTCCATGCACCTCCAAGTCCTTCTCCAAGATTCAGTTATACTCAAGTTTTTCATGGTAGCCTGCTTTGGAGCTTTTGTCCTGTAAACACCAGGCCTGAAAACCAATCTCTACCCTTCCACAAGACAGATGTCACTCACCCTTTAAGGCTCACCCAAAGTTCCCCTTTCCTTTTGGATGGGTCATGATTACTATCAGGCAGAATGACTTTATCCATCCTGAGTGATCCCTGCATATCCTGGACAAGCAAAAATTATGGCACTTGGGTTTGACTTACCACATTGTAACTATTTTATTTTTTATTTACTAATTTTCCTGCCACTCACAGAGAAACACACACTCCTGAGACTCACTTTAGAATACCCTCTGAAAGCACAGGAATTAGGCTTGCTAGCATAGGAATGAGGCCTTCCCTACATCATTGATCTTGAATCAAGGATTTTTTTTAATGGAAAACTTTCAAATATACACAAAAGTAGTGAGAACAGTATAATGAATCTCCATGTATATATCAGTCAGTTATGATCAACTTATGAACATTTTATTTGAAATCCCCATTTCGTCCCCACTGAATTACTTTTAAGCATATCAAAAGATTTAAACCTATTTCTTAAAAATGTAACCACAATTATCACATTTAATATATTAACTAATATATTAAAAATATATTACTTAACGTCAATATCCATAATTTCATCCAACCATATTTTGTGAAAGAGCTATTTAATGCCTCCATTTTTGTTTTTCAATTTTGAAATCGTGATAAGAATAGAAAAAAGAGGAAAGAGATCTGGGAAATTGCATAATTAAGTTGCAGGGAGCCTGAATGTCCAAGATGAGAAAGAAAAAAATCTGACCTGGTTTGAGATGTGAGAAGTATATTCTACTACTTCTCCGGAGGAGGAGGGTGCGACTTCAGTCCAGGTGATGCAGGGGAAGGTGCGGAGGGGAGAGGGTTACTACCTCCGTTAGGAGTTCCTTCCGGATAATCCCACCGTGGTGCTAGGAGGCAGCGCTTTTTTGGAGGCCTGGTTTCCCGCGGGTTTCCAGGAGGGAGCGTGGATCTCCCGGAGGCACAAGGTTGGTCCCCCATAAGGATTATAGGACTGGGCGTCAGCTTTCTCCAATGGGCCCGGCGAGGCCGAGACCTGAGATGGCGGCGGGTCCCTTCCAGGCACAGAGCTTCCTCTGGGTTTCGCGCTTACCGTATTTCCTGTATCCTGAAACGCACATCCCCTCTCCGCCTCCTCCCTCCCTTCTCTACTCCACCCAATTTTAATGTTTCTTCAGGGGCGGGTCTTAAGAAGACCCGGCGTATAGTTAATATATAATGTTTTTCCACAGCACATCCCCCAAAATGTAACTAAATCCATGTTCTGTCTTCAATCAATGCAATTTTAAGATTAGAAGAAATTTAGGTTTACTCCTAGATGGTGATCTCTGCATAGATAGATTGTGGAAAAGCGCAGGGGAGGGGACGGGGAAGGGAGGTGCGCAGATGGGGGTAGGGAGGAGAACAAAGAAATTAGTTAAGAGCTAAGGGCTTGGGATCCCTGGGTGGCGCAGCGGTTTGGCGCCTGCCTTTGGCCCAGGGCGCGATCCTGGAGACCCGGGATCGAATCCCACGTCGGGCTCCCGGTGCATGGAGCCTGCTTCTCCCTCTGTCCCTCTGCCTGTGTCTCTGCCTCTCTCTCTCTCTCTCTCTCTCTCTCTCTCTCTCTCTCTCTGTGACTATCGTAAATAAATAAATTAAAAAAAAAAAAAGAAAAAAAAAAAAGAGCTAAGGGCTTTACTATCGAGTTACTAATGCGCAACCCAGAGCCCTGAAACTTCCTAGGACCATTTAAAAAGCAATATGCAAACGTGTTAGTTGACTGAACTTGACTGAAGTGTAGAATAGCGCGCTAGCATTGACCACGGAAAATAAATTCACCGTATGTCATAGAATGTAATATCACTTTTTTCTTTATATTTTAACAAATTAGAAATCTCTGAAAGCTTATTTTTTTAAATGTCTAATTTTATAATGTTTTAACATCTATAAAATTTCAGTTGATGAATCTCAACTGATGAAATGTCATACTTCAATTAGCAATGTTTTTGTTCTCTTTCCCAGACTTAAGGAAAATAATAATTCATCTTACTATCTGGTGTATTATATTCTATGATATATGGTAAGCAACCAGAGGAGCGTGCAAAGTGGCTTAGAAAAAAAGGCTAGTGGAACTTCTTAGACCTTCAGCATTCACATCCATCCCCTTTAGCTATGTGCAACCTAGACCATACTTTTACAGCACTGTCCTAAGTGTTTTTCAATGAAAAGAATTCAATCCTTAATGTCGAAATAGAACTTTTAAAATACTCTGTTATTTACAAGCTCTGTGATATTTAAGTAGTTGATTAAACAGAGCTATAGTTTCCAGGAGATTATAATTTCTTCCTTTTAAAACTATTGCCAAAAAATAAGTAATAATAATAATAATAAAACTATTGCCATAGTTAGGGATCATGTATTTAAAGTACTTATTACATGATTGCCTCTCATATTCACCATCACTACCTTCCTCTAAGTACCAAAACAGTCCTTTACACAAACTAGAAACTAAATAAATGTTTAGGAAATAAATGACCAGATGTTACTAATAAAGAAAAATATTGCAGCAATGGGTTAATGAAAACATGTGAGGGGAAATCAAGAGAAACAATGCTTTAGGTTGAGAAAAGCAGTTGGAACTAGACATAATATGGTATCACCAACATAGATCTGGTAGTAGAAGTCATGGAAATGCATGTTATCCTCAAGAGAAAATATAGAGAAAAAGGAAATGGCCTGAAGACAGAGTATTGATTGATTATAGACTGAAGTGTAGTTTACTGTAGAGGCTGAGAAAGAGTAGCCAAAGTCAGAGGAGAGGATTCCAACCTAGTGTTTCTCACTCTTGGCACAATTGATATTTGAGGCCAGATTCCTCTTTGTGGTAGGGGCCTGCCGTGTGCCTTGTAGGATGTTTAGCAGTATCCCAAATAGGACAGTGGCACCTCCTTATCACTCCCAGCTGTGAAAACCAAAAATGTCTCCAGACACTGCCAAAGTCCCCTGGGAAGCAAAATTATCCCCACTGAGAAGCATTGGTCTATCCTTAATCCTCCAAACTCACTTGTTCATAGTCTTCTTTACTTCAGTGAATGTCATCCTTTCTACCCAGTTGTACAAGTCAAACTTTACTATTTTTTATACTGCAGAATATTCCATTATTTTCCGAAGTAAATGAGGTAACATTTTTGCAGTCTTTTCAGATGAATCTCTAAATCTGTGAGACTAAAGACTTTAAGAGTAGAAGTTAAAATTAAGTTTTTTTTTTATGATAGTCACAGAGAGAGAGAGAGAGAGGCAGAGACACAGGCAGAGGGAGAAGCAGGCTCCATGCACCGGGAGCCCGACGTGGGACTCGATCCCGGGTCTCCAGGATCACGCCCTGGGCCAAAGGCAGGCGCCAAACCGCTGCGCCACCCAGGGATCCCCCAAAATTAAGTTGTTTTATAGTTATCATTTTAATAAATTAAGATAATATTGCCTATTTTAGTAAAATAACAGGAATTAAAAGTTATATCAAATCCAGATGTGTTATATTTATGGTAAATATTTGACTTGTGGAAATAATCCCAACTTAAAGCTGCTGCCATCAACCTGGACTATTTATACCTCAACTGGATTTACTTATTTTTATTTTTAATTGTGGTAAAATATACATAAAATTTTCCATTTTAATCATTTTTAAGTATACAGTTTAGTAGTATTGAGTATATTCACAATGTTGTACAACAAATCTCCAGAATTTTTTCGTACTCATTAAATAATGCTTTCCCGGGATCCCTGGGTGGTGCAGCGGTTTGGCGCCTGTCTTTGGCCCAGGGCGCGATCCTGGAGACCCGGGATCGAATCCCACGTCGGGCTCCCGGTGCATGGAGCCTGCTTCTCCCTCTGCCTATGTCTCTGCCTCTCTCTCTCTCTCTGTGACTATGACAAATAAATAAAAATAAAAATAAAATGCTTTCCCTTTTTTCCCTTTCCCAATATTTGGTAACCATCATGATACTCCTAACTGCATTTTGTTTGTTTATTTTTGTTATACTAAAATGGAAAACTAAAGCTTTTTTAAAGCTAGGTCTCAAAATGATTCTCCCCATCACCTTTTCCAAGTTAAACTTTTTTTTTTAACATTGATGAAATAGGTGATTGTGAATCATGAAACCAGAAGAGGGCTAGCAAACCAGATTTGAGAAGTGTTATAGATCTGAATTTCTTTCATGAAGTTCTCAAAAGGTGACAACAGAGGAGAAATGACAATCTCCTCTATAAATGGAGCTGGGAAAACTGGATAGCCAAATGAAAAGGAATGAAACTGGATCACTGTTTTACACCATACACAAAAATTGACTGACAGATTAAAGACTTGAATGTTAGACCATAAACCATAAAACTCCTAGAAGAAAACAAGCAGTAAGCTCTTTGACATCAGTCCTTGGCGATATGCTCCAAAGGCAATGGCAACAAAAGCAAAAATAAACAAATGGGACTACATCAAATTAAGAAGCTTTTGCACGGTGGAGGAAACCACCAACAAAATAAAAAGACAATGTATTCAAAAGGAAAAAGGTTTTGCAAATTGTACATCTGATATGGGTCCAATATCCAAAATGTATAAAGAAGTCATCCAGGACAGCCCGGGTGGCTCAGCGGTTTAGCATTGCCTTCAGCCCAGGGCGTGATCCTGGAGACCCGGGATCGATTCCCACGACAGGCTTCCCACATGGAGCCTGTTTCTCCTTCTGCCTCTCTCTCTCTGTCTCTCATGAATAAATAAATAAAAACTCTTTGGGGAACCTCCACACAGTTTTCCAGAGTGGCTGCACAAGTTCACATTCCCACCAACAGTGCAGGAGGGTTCCCCTTTCTCCTCGTCCTCTCCAACATTTGTTGTTTCCTGTGTTATTAATTTCCACCATTCTCAATGGTGTGAGGTGGTATCTCATTGTGGATTTGATTGTGTATTTCCCTTATAGCAAGGGATGCGGAGCATTTCCTCATGTGATTGTTGGCCATGTCTATGTCTTTCTTGGTGAAATTTCTGTTCATGTCTTTTGCCCATTTCATAATTGGATTGTTTGTTTCTTTGCTGTTGAGTTAGTAAGTTCTTTATAGATCTTGGATACTAGCCCTTTATCTGATGTCATTTGCAAATAATTCTCCCATTTTTAGGTTACCTTTGGTTTTGTTTGCTGTTTCTTTTGCTGTGCAGAACCTTTTTATCTTGGGCAGTCCAAGTGGCTCAGCAGTTTAGCGCCACCTTCAGTGTGATCCTGGAGACCCAGGATCGAGTCCCACGTGGGGCTCCCTACATGGAGCCTGCTTCTCCCTCTGCCTGTGTCTCTGCCTCTCTCCCTCTCTCTCTGTCTCTCATGAATAAATAAAGTCTTTAAAAATTAAAAAAAAGAACCTTTTTATCTTGATGAACTCCCAATAGTTCATTTTTGCTTTTGTTTCCCTTGCCTTCAAAGATGTATCTTGCAAGAAGTTGCTGTGGCCAAGTTCAAAAAGGGTGTAGCCCATGTTCTCCTCTAGGATTTTGATGGATTCTTATCTCACATTTAGATCTTTCATCTATTTTGAGTTTATCTTAGTGTATGGTGTAAGAGAATGGACTTGTTTCATTCTTCTGCATGTGGATGTCCAATTTTCCCAGCACCATTTATTGAAGAGACTGTCTTTTTCCAGTGGATAGTCTTTCCTGCGTGGTTGAATATTAGTTGACCATAGAGTTGAGGGGCCATTTCTGGTTCTCTACTCTGTTCCATTGATCTATGTGTCTGTTAATGTGGCAGTACCACACTGTCTTGATGATCACAGCTTTTGAGTAGAAATTGAAACCTGGCATTGTGGGCAGCCCCGGTGGTGCAGCGGTTTAGCACCGCCTGCAGCCCAGGGTGTGACCCTGGAGACCCAGGATCGAGTCCCATGTTGGGCTCCCTGCATGGAGCCTGCTTCTCCCTCTGCCTTTGTCTCTGCCTCAATCTCTCTGGATGAATAAATTAAAAAATAATATTAAAAAAAAAGAAATCCGGCAATGTGAAGCCCCTAGCTCTGGTTTTCTTTTTCAATATTCCACTGGTTTTTCAGAGTCTTTTTTGATTCCACACAAATCTTAAGAATATTTGATCCA